TCTGACCGATACAGAGAGAGCGTGAAACAAAAGTGGACAATAGCTTTGGACGGGAAGCACAGAATCTGACAGAGGACGGATTTAACGGAAGAACAACCAAATATAAAAGGAGATAAAACCGAAAAATTGACTGATCAAGCATGCAGAGTAGAAGAAAAACATAAAATGCCCACTCATTTTCACTGTAAGAATATGTCTGGCCAAAAGTTTTGATTTGCAATTATTCAGCCACGCTACACATTGCTACCCAGTGTCAGCTTGACAATGATGTCATGTCCCATTTACAGTAGCGACCAATTTTGCTTACCTACGACCTTTCATTTTTCTGCTACATTTGATATTTTTTAGGAACCGCTTCACCTGTCATATGCAAAACAGAACAACAACATGTAGAAGTCATAATCATGCCTTACCTAGATCTCCATGGTAACTGTTGTCATGGGAAGCCCGACTGGAGGCAATAGAGTCTCCATCATGGGGCCAGATTTGTCCTGTTTTCCTTACGCCCACAATGGTGGCCTCAGACACCACGACATGTTGCTGCCTGTGTCGTTTCTGTGTCTGCGGTGTAGGGGGGCTGCTGCTGTCAAACGAATGCTGAGAATTCTGGGAGTTCTGAGAAGGTGAGCGACTCTTCTCTCGGAGTGGGCGGCGGTAGGCTGTCGTAGGGCTGGGCGACACGTGACTGGACTGTCCCGAGGAGAAGTCTTCCTCACTGGATGTCAGGTTCTCATTGGAGCTGCAGTCTGGCGTGTATCCGCCTCCTCCACCTCCCACATCCTCGAAACTTCCAGGCGAGTATGACCTCCTGGGCCAGGTGAGAAGATGGTCGTCGCTTCCTCCATGGTCTCTCATAGTGACCCTACCGTCACCACTTTCTCCTGACATCATCCCTCCGACGTAAACACTAGTGTATGGCTGGAAATCTGATGGCTGCCAAGGTGGAGGTGGTGGTTTGGCACCGTTCGGTCTCGCAGTGCTGTAGCGAGGACTGGGTTCGCCATCTTCATACTCTGCATCATATCCGCAGGTGCTTTCGGTAGAGCGCCCCCTATAGACAGGCCTGGGGCGTAGATCGCCTGCGACCGTAGCAAGGTTGCCTGGAAGTGAATGAAGTGACCTTTTGCGCTCCATCTGCATGGCTTGGTTCCCAAGAGAGCTAATTTTGTCAGAGACCTCACGGTCGTTGACTTTTACCAGGCCCCTGTCATGATGGAACTCAACGTTGGTGTAAAATGGTTTCTCTTGGCCTGATTTTCCATCACTGGCTGAGTGTGAGTTGGCCCGTTTGATTCTCTCAAAGTTCGAACGTAAGGCAGCCACCCCGAGCCCCATGCCCGGCTTGTCTTTGGGTGACGGATCCAAGGGCAACTCCTTGTCAAGGGGTGGATGGGGCCTGCAAGGAGAAACTCCACCCCTCTGTGTTGATGGCGAGAGCCCGTCGGTCTCACTGACCGGCCCTGCCTGGTGCGCCTCGAATGACGACTGTAGCTCCAATCCATCACCGTGGGAGGCCGACTTCCTGGCAGGGGGTGGTCGTGGTTTCACTCTGGTCTCCCCCACAGGCTGAAACCTGCTGCGCTCTGGCTGTCCCTGCTCCTGTGCATGGAGATGCTGAGAATCGGCCCCAACAGCTTGCGGGTCCCCTTCGATCATGTGAGGTGGCTTCCTGAAACCCCATCTCTGCCGGTCGTAGCTCTTTCGCTCCTTGGCCAGCAGCGTCTGAAGGTAGATCATCCGAAAGCGCTCTTTGTTCACCTCCATTTCCAAGCGTCTTATGGACGCTTTGCACTTCTCCAATTCTTGTTCGATTCCCCCAACAGACCTCAGCTCCATCTTCGGAGGCTCAGACTCTGGAAACTGTGCTTTCCAGGCTTCGATGAAACCCACAGGCTCCACCATTGTGTTTGCTCAGGCTGAAAATATCAAATTGGTCAGAAACACACGGTCAAGTATCTCCAACCAATTGAAATTTAGCTGAAGGAAAAGAAAATTGATTAAAGTATGAAAAGTCGGCAGTGCCCGTTCATAATAAAGGATATTTCTTCAATAACACTTAATACAAACGTTTACAAAACACTTAGTTCATGATTTCCCTGGAATTGTCACTAGAAGTCTCAGTCTTTCTGTGCCAGAATTGTCGTCGTTGGGCTCGAGTTGTACAACGACTGAACGACCGTTATTGAGCATGTCGCGCGGAAACAATAAAGGCACGCGCAGTCTCATCTCGCGCACCATTCCGACGAGACCACTTGCAGAATATCACGCGCACAAATCTCGGTCCTCAGCACAATGACAGCATCTGTTCTCCAGAGCGCACGGGATGAACGAAGTACTCCTTAGAATGCTTTCCGAATTAAACTAGTCGCCATAAACAAATCATACGGTCCGGCCGTGACTGTGGCGAGGTATTCCAGTTGTCCTGCGTTCATAATGTGATGTCTTTTTTATCATTTTTATCACCAAAGCCCTTTGTGCTTACGTCTGTGTCTGGAAGAAGAAAAAAAAACACTCTCCTCGACTGCTCGTTTAGTTCCCGTGGACGAAATTGTCTAAAGACGCTCACGATTATCCCATTTTGTCGCTGATTATTAGACTGTGCAGATTTGCCGCGTCTGCTGTACGTAATGCCTCTGTATGAAAAGCACTTAACGCTGCTGCTGCAGGAAGGGGCGGGATTACGAGACATGATTGACAGCTCTCCCAGCATGGGTTCGATTTAAAGCGACAGGCTGCTTCACCGCATAGGTCAGGGAGCTTGTAGTGAGCGTGGCGTGGTTTAAATATCAAACTTTTCGACATGTGTTAGGGGAAATGCAGCCTGTTTTTGTTGAAACATAATGTGGCGTTTAAGGAACACACACAATATTGTGGAACAAATAATTCACAAAATAGGTGTAATGTTTTTTTTTTGTGTTATTTTTAGATAAATAACATAATCTAACAATATGTGTAATAACATAATTTGCAGAAATATAACCTTTTGTATGTAGCTAATTAAAGGCACTGAACTGAAATGTACATTAATTTATGCTATTGTAAACACACTGGTTTTTACATGTGAAATAAGATGATGTCATTGTAATTGGACCGTGTTTTAGCGCCAAAATTCGTCTCTGTCGCCTTCAAGTGTTCAGTATTAGACATTACAGCCGTAAGGACCGCTCAGGACATCTCTCTGCGTAAATACCTTCAACAAACATGTACTTTTTGTTTAAATGGTACTTTAATTAATGAACTCATGGCTTCATTGTTGATTTTAGAGCCAAGAACAAGAAGCACATTCTGGCCGCATTTGAGTCTGTTTTTTCTGCTGACCAATGACACTGATTCAGGTAAGTTAACAGACTGAATAGTAAGAAAATCCTACTCCTTCATTTTAGGAATATTTAAATTTATTAAATGGCTTTTCCTAACAGATACACATAGAGAGGCACGTCCCCATTAGTAAATTAACTAAAGAGTTTATTTGTAAAATGATGTTGAATCATATACCATTCAGCAGCAATGTACACAGCAAGTTGCTATATAAATATAGATCAAATTATTTGGCTAATTACAACTGAAGTCATGCATTATACTATATAATACATGTATATAAAACTATGACAACTGACACAGGAAAAAAATGCAGCAAACTCTCCTTGCATCAGCATTAGGCAATGTAGACATTGTCATGCAAGGTAGAAGATGATGCTGATGCTTGCTTCCTTATACACTTATTACTCTTATTTCTCTGTCATTTATTCATTACTGAGTTTTTATTATTGAGTCCATTCTTACACGTGATCTGGCAGTGCACTGGTGGCTATTTTCTGAACTGCACATTCAACATGCAAGTTCTGATATTCAGCTAAATGAAGCCACTCAAAACAGACATGCACAACACAGAAGCCTGAGGTTTCCCAACAAGAGCAGAGGCAGAAGCAATAAATGCCAATAAAAACAAATGAGAAAAAAAGAGGAATTTTTGAATTTTGGTTTTAGAACGAAACGCAAACGCTAAAGTGCACTATTAAATAAATAGTTTGCATATAAGCAAGTATGACAATGGGGGAAATAAATGTATGATTAATTGTTCATACAAAAGGCAACATTTACTAAAAAAGAAAAGAATGCAACATATTTCTAATGGCAATAGTGTTTTCATTCGAGTCATTTATGCCATCATCCAAGTTTAGTTCCTGAGCAAGTCAGAACAGTGTACGGACCATTCTAATAAAAACTAATGGTGCATTCATTTCATTCAGAGGCAATATTGAAATTATATGGGGTAAAGAAAACAATCACGCAAGTAATTTGACCAAGTCTTTACAATATATTATTATATGGGGTAAAGAAAACAACCACGCAAGTAATTTGACCAAGTCTTTACAATATATTATATATTTCTTAAAAACAGCATATATTGCAGTGGAATATAACAGTGTAATGTATTCAAGCTGATATGGGCATGTGTTAATGTAGCTATAAACGGCCACAGTAGTCGTAGTGAGAATTTAGCAGATTTACAGGCAAGCAGTGTTGGTCCATTGTCAGAAAAACTTGAGGCTTTGGGACATTGTTGTAACACAGTGAAAAGGAGTGGAGAAATGTGTAGCGGCAATGTCAGCGACACCTACTTAAAGGGAATGTTTATGATTGTTAGAAAAAAAATACTGACAGTTCCACACCAAGAGCATAGTCAGGGACATGCATCCATTTTAGCAAGCAAAAATTAGTGTGATGCAATGGACAACTAAATGCCAGAAAGCTCTATTAAAAAAAAAAAATTTACTTTGTACCGTTTCTGTATATGTGCTGCATGTGTACAAATATACAGGCCACTACCAGACTGGCTGGTGAGGGCCAAACAGGAAGCCCCTCCCAGCTGTCAATCTTGTGCTCAGCTATGTAACTAAATCTCTGTACATTAATTTCATTTATTCAAGTATATTTGCTCCTAAAACTTGCCGTGCTGCATTACAGGAACAGACCAGCTTGTAAAATGAAGACACGCATTTTAATTCAAATGGTTCATGAGTGTATTAAGTAGAAAAAAAATTATAGCATGAAACATTTTGGTTTTGCATTGTAAAATTTGTTTTGAATGCAACACCTAAACCTTAGCTGGTCAAATTTTCTACTCCTTTGTCTCTGACCGTAACCCACTAAACGGTAACAGCTACAGCTTTTATCCAACCCACCCCACCCCAAAAACAAAAACCCCTAAATTAAGTTAATGCAACTTCATTAAATTTAAAAAAAAAAAGAGTGAAACAAAAAAAAAAGAACTTAAAACAGATGTTAGGGCCAAAGGAATCTGGGTTCTGTTTATCATCAAATAGAGGAACCCCTCATGCATTAATGTGTACAAGCGGTGTAAAGCTAAGTGGTGGGAAGCAACCAGAGAGAGTCTAATCTGACAGTCCTGAGGTAGCTGTACTCTGCCTAGTGCAGAAAAACTGGCTTTACTAATCAAAAGTGTTAGGTAATAATGGAAACAATGTATACCCATACAAATGGAAGTTATTACACAGGGAAAGACATACAGGTACAAATCATAAGTGAAAAACCACACAAAATGCATGCAAAATACAGAACATGCAGCTTTCATCTGAGGATTTGACCGTGAAGCATTCAAACATTCAGTCCCGCACTCTCTTTCTCATGCTGCTTTGAAACACCATGCTTGTCTATTGGCTCCTTAGCGATGTTCACACCGAAGACACAAAGGTAGACATTAGTAAACAGTTCTGTCTTGTTCTCTCTCTTTTTTCTACCCTACCCACTCTGCTCTCTGTTAGCAAATTGAACAAATAATAACAAATGAACAATTGCATAAAATAGTGTTAAATGTCGGTACACAAGCACTTTTTCCATTTAGCCATTCGAACATGATTTGGGGCCAAAACAAATGGGATATTATCATAATTGATACTAGTTTGAAATGAGACATGACACATGATTAATTAAAAATGCAATAACAAAAAGAAACCAACAAGAAGTCCAAAGAGATTATTAATGGTCACTAATACTTGAAGACTTCAGGTCTGTATGGTCTCCTCAAACCCCAACAGACAGCTAAAAAAAAAGGTTATATTTCTATATCACGGTTATTTTCGTGTTAATCCTGTACTTCTCGTACACATTCTCTGTAGCGGAGGCACACTTTAAACGCACAACCATACATACAGACACACGTGCACACTAGCTACACACATCAGTGCTCATTTCAGTCAAGACCAGAACATTTCGGCCAAGTTAGTGTCAGTGCTGTAGATCCACAGCACCAGGGGGAGTGAGAGAGCCACGAAGGGCCAGGAAATGCCCTCCATGCAGGTGCTGAGAGAGCAGGCCATGCTCTTGGGACCGTCCAGGTCTTTGGGCTTGTCCAGGTAGTTTCTGGCCACAAACTTGAGCACTTCATCCAGCAAGATGACTGGCAGGGAAATCTTCAACACCATAAGCCACTGGGTCACATTCAGTGGGGTGATCTGGAAGATCATCTGTAGAGAAAATGCAGTGTAACTTAACTACTATACAGAGTAAATAATAAATGGACAATTGACTAAACTAAGAACAGTTTCATTGCAAAACAATATGAAGACATACATTTACTAACTGTTAAAAAGATAAAAAATTGGAATTAAAAACTCAATTCTACAAAGACCGCAAAAAAATATAAAAGGAACAAATACACTGAAACTGATCATCTTATTGATTCAAATTGATCTTACCGGCAGGGGTTCCACATAAAGGATAAGGAAGTGGAGGGACATGGAGAGGCAGATGGCTCCTAGCAGCCACACGTTCTCCCAGGGGGGCATGCGAAGCAGAGACTGGTTCTCGGAAACACTACAACAAGATACCATTGTGAAATTAAGAGACTGTTTGCATATTTATATTATCCACCACTTATGCCATTAACATCTGGTATTAAAATCCATTTCAGCTGATATACAAGACCACGAGAACCAATCTGACTTGCATTGCAGCCTGGAATTAAACCATACCATGCTGGTTTCGTCTGGCCAGAGGAGAACTGGCCACCCGACTGAGCCTATTTCTCCCAAGGCTTTTTTTCTCCATTTCTGTCACCGATGGAGTTGTGGTTCCTTGCCACTGTCGCCTTTGGCTTGCTTAGTTGGGGACACAATTTTTGGCAATATTGCCAACTTGATTGCACAGACACTACTTGAAGAGAACTGAACTGAGCTGGATGATAACATCACTGAATCAACGATGAACCGACTTTAACTGAAAAACTGACGGTTTTCTATTGTCCTTTTGCGTTATCAGCACACGTTTTTTCTGTTTATGACACTGCTCTGTGGAATACTTGATTCTGATTGGTCAGTCGCGACATTCCGAGGGTATGTTATCCCTCGATAACAACCGGTAAAAGCTGATAACACAGGCTCATCCGGGTAACTGAAGTCAACAGTTTTTTCTTGGTGGAACCTTCGCGTTTGTTTAGCTAATAAAATATTAAAACTCTATTCAAAATTGTGTACAATTATTGAATTATGTCATCCTGGTATGGCGGACTCGCGCTCTCGTTTCATACAAACGCAGCTGCTGCCATTTTGCTACGATTGTTTTGTACGCTGTAATGGATTAGAAGATAACTAACAAACTGGTAAGATTTTAAAACATTTTCATCTTAAATCTTTTATCTCCATAATTATGTATGTGGTGAATAAGTGGTGTGACTGCACCGTATCCCTTAAATGTCCGTCTAGTTTGAACTTACTCGCAACTGCTGTGTTCACGGAAGCTGTGTTCACGGAAGCTTTGCGTTCAAATATTTCAACTCAAATCAATATTTCGTGTCTAATTATTTACTTATGTGGCAAGTAGCCGTAATAAGCGGGATAATGTATATCCAGCCGGTTGTTATCACAGAATAACCCCCTTCAGAGTGATACAAGACTGATTCACACTGTCGGGGTTATTCAGCATTATCCCTTACTTAACACTGTAAAGTTGCTTTGACACAATCGGTATTGTATAAAGCTCTGAAAAAAAAAAGTGGATGTGGCTGAATACAAGTGTAAATTGGGTTTAAAAGTAATGTCTGTCCTCTAAAAAAATCTATTTATTTGAATCTTTTGTAACAAATGTTTGTCATTTTTATTTTACAAAACTGTCAAATATTATCCTTAATTAAATTATTTGATACACTCATGTATCTGATAACAGATTACTTACTAATTATAACATTGAAAAAAGCATTTTCTGTAAAGCTGCTTTAAGACAATGTATTGTGAAAAGCGCTATACAAATAAACAAACTGATTGAAAGTGTTTTATCAACATTGTTAATGGAAAAAAGATGCAAGTAATTTATGCAGTCACAAAATGAAAAAAAAATTCTGACCACATTGTTACAAAAGTTACTTCCAGGTGTATACAGCATTGTCTCACTGTTTGTGATCGGATAGATCTTAATAGCAGATGTAAATGGGGCCTTAATTGGGGCTGAAAATGCCCCAATTTAGTTCCTATATTGCAGCGCACTTCTGATACTGACCTGTTGAGGGCATTGCACATCTCAATGGTGACTAGTACAGACAGTGCCATGGTCATGGGATAGGGAGACTCAAACACTTCACACTTCAGGCCCTCAAACTCAGGGTTGTCTGGTGCACACTGAAGGAAGTGACTCTGTGGGGAGAAAAAAAAAGAAGTAATTTTTAGAAGCGAATGCAAACATTAGAATTCATTTGTTTAAGAAAGACTGTTAAAAATCTAAGGGGAGTTTCTAACCAGATGATAGATGGTGATTCTGGGTCCGTCTTCAGCAGCAATGAACCACCATGCAGCAGCTCCTACAGTACCAGCACCCACATAACCTATAGGGTGACATGGAGAACAATGTGTTAATTCTCACTTTCTTTACCTACAAAAAAATTAATTAAGTAAAACATTTTTTAAAAAGGTAAAAACTAAAGTAAAAATGTAAATTTAAAAAATGAAAACAAAACAAAAAAAATTAAAAATTAACAAATAAAGGTGGTGCACTCACAGCCAATGGCCAGGTATCTGAAGAAGAGCCATCCAGAGATGAGGGGTTCTCTGGCATTGCGAGGGGATTTGCTCATGATGTCCAGGTCGGGTGGGTTGAACCCCAGCGCGGTCGCAGGCAGACCGTCGGTCACCAGATTCACCCACAGAAGCTGAACTGGAATCAGAGCCTCGGGGAAGCCCAGAGCTGCCGTCAAGAAAATACTGCCAGAGAGAACACATATTGTGAGTTATGCGATTAGATGATAACTGGAAGAATGTCAAAAAGACATTGGCAGCAATCTTGAGTTTGCTCAAGGCATAAATTTCACTGGTGTTGTCATTTATATAGTATCACTTTTAGGATGGAGACTAAATTGAGCCATTCTGGTGCATAGGATGAATCATAAACCTTGATTAAACAATTTAACAAAGAATATAATCTAACAAACATTTTATATAATAACCACTCTGGTATGTAACAACCAAGGTCTTCTCATTGAAAACCCTGTTTAACAAAAAAAACACTACCATTCAAAGGTTTAGGTTTACTTTTTTTTTTTTTTTTTTAAAGAAATTAATTTTATTCAGCAAGGGCACATTAAATTGATCAAAAGTGACAGTAAATACATTTATAATGTAAAAAAAAATTAAAAATCATATTCAAATATTTTGTCTATTAAAAATAGTTATTTAGCACCAAATCTGCATATTATAATGATTTCTGACTGGAGTAATGGCTGCTGAAAATTCACATACATTTTACGTACATTTAAAAATATATTAATATAGAAACAGTCATTAAATATTGTAATATTTCACAACATTACAGTTTGTACTGTATTTTAAATAAAATAAATATAGCCTTGGGGTGCATAAAACTCCTTTCAAAAACATTCATCTTACCTCATGATTTTTAACAATATTGTAAATATATCAGATTACATCTACAAGAAAAATTAATGTTTATCTGCTTACCCCCAGGGCATCCAAGATGTAGGTGACTTTGTTTCTTCAGTAGAACACAAACGAAGAGACTCAAACCGTTGCAGTCTGTCAGTCATATAATGGAAGTGAATGAAATCATGGCTTTGAGTCAAAAAACATACATAAACAAACCCAAATTAAACCCTGCGGCTCGTGACGATACATTGATGTGTAAAGACACAAAACGATCGGTCTGTGCAAGAAACTCAACAGTATTTATATCGTTTTTTTAACCTCTGATTCACCGCAATGTCCGAATGTTCAATCTCTCAAATGGACCATAGACACTCCTAATTGAGATTGTAGATAGAATGTCAATGGTTCATTTAAGAGATAGGTGGCAGTAATGCACTTATAAGTCTGTGATCCGCTTTAAAGCAAGACGACGCGTCACGCACTGGCTGAAGACGCAAAGGTGCTCAGGACAGTTCAGACATTGAATCAGAGGTAAAAAATTATATAAAATACAGTTCAGTTTCTTGCACAGACCGATCGTTTCGTGTCTTTACACATCAATGTATCGTCACGAGCCGCAGGGTTTAATTTGATTATGCTGGTGTATGTTTTTTTGACTCTCAAAGCCGTGATTCCCATTCACTTCCATTATATGACTGACAGACTGCAACGGTTTGAGTTAAAAATCTTCGTTTGTGTTCTACTGAAGAAACAGTCACCTACATCTTGGATGCCCTGGGGGTAAGCAGATAAACATCAAATTTTCATTTTTGGGTGAACTATCCCTTTAAGATCCTTACCAGACCACCTCGCCGACATTTGAGGAAATGAGGTAGCGGATGAATTGTTTCATGTTGTTGTAAATGGCTCGACCCTCTTCCACAGCGGCCACAATGGTGGCAAAGTTATCATCAGCAAGGACCATCTCAGAGGCAGTCTTAGCCACGGCTGTGCCTGACCCCATAGCAATGCCAATTTCAGACTTTTTCAGAGCAGGTGCATCATTCACACCATCTCCAGTCTGCGGGAATGAACACAGAGTGACAGGTCAGTTGAGAGAGAATGATTCGAACAACAAAATCTAGAATAAATCCTTCCATCTTTATAGTCATTTAATATAGAATGATATTTTTATATAAATATACACTACCGTTGAAAAGTTTGGAGTCTTTTTTTATTTTTTTAATTATTATATTATTATTTTTATAGCAATGACACATTAAATTGATCAAGTCACAGTAAAGACATTTATAATGTTAAATTATAAATTAATGTTAAAAATATTAATTTTTATTATTTCAAATAAATATCCTTTTGAACTTTCTATTTATTAAAGAAGTCTGAAAAAAATATGACTGTTAGGAGCACAACTGTTTTCAACATTGATAAGAATGTTTCTTGGGCACCAAAGCAACATTAGAATGATTTCTGAAGGATCATCTGACACTGAAGACTGGAGTAATGGCTGCTGAAAATTCAGCTTTGCATCACAGTAATAAATTACATTTTAAAATACATTAAAATAGAAAATTAATCAACTAAATGCTTTGGAGAACATAAAACATCTTACCAAACCCAAACTTTTGAAAGGAAGTACATATAAAATCATTCAAGGAGTACATTTTATGATTTCACTGGATTCTAGTTTACCATGGCAGTGATCTCATCGTAGGACTGCAGGTACTCCACAATCTTGGATTTGTGAGATGGCTCGACACGGGCAAAGCAACGGGCAGTAAGTACTGCCTCGCGCTGGGTGGCAGCAGACAGATCGTCAAACTCTCGACCAGTGTAGGCCATACTGGACACATCGTCATCCTCTCCAAAGATTCCAATTCGCCTGCAGATGGCGACGGCCGTACCCTTGTTGTCGCCGGTGATCATGATGACTCGGATGCCTGCTTGACGACAAAGTTTGATGGAAGCTGCCACCTCAGTTCTGGGTGGATCCAGCATGCCCACACATCCCACGAAGGTCAGGTCCGTCTAAAGGAAAAACAGCAATGAATAAATAAATATTTTGAATTAATTACTTATAAATAAGCCTTGCTATAGCAGAAATGCCCTACTCACCTCATACTCAATAAATCTGCTTGAGTCCTCCAGTGCCATACTCTCTTTACTCAATGGGTTGTCACGGGTGGCCAGAGCCAGACAGCGCAGTGTGTCACGTCCTGTGCCGTACTCACGGATCACAGACGTGATCTTCTCTTTCATGGCTGCTGTCAGTGAAACCTTATTCCCACCTACACGAATGTGCGTGCATCTGTCAATCACTCCCTCTGGAGCACCCTGCACCCAGAAATAATGAGTTTAAGGAAGCTGCAGGCACTTTGTTGTACCACATCACATTTCAAACATAAAGCAGTACGGTGTGGAACAGATAAATGAAACAGTGGAGTGCTAAAGTTTTCCTGAAAAGTGTGATGCTACCTTAACAAACATCTTGCCAATGGAGGAGCGAGCTTTGTTGGGAGTGCAATAGACCGACATGGACTTCCTGTCTCGGGAGAACTCCAGAGTGAATTCCTTCTTCATCAGTTGCTTGATGACCTGAGACCCAACAAATTAATCGGATATGAGAGCTGCCATTACATTAAACACCAGAAACCATTTTGGAAATAAATGTGGGCTTCCACAACCGCATAGCCCACTAGGGTTGCAACCAACTCAAAATCTGCGGTTGGAAATGTCTGACTTACCGAGTTGCAAGCGTTCGCCCTCTCAACTTTGGAAAGGCCCTTCAGTTGTGTGTCAAACACGTTCATTTTCTCCACCAGGCATGTGAGGGCAGTCTCTGTGGCTTCACCCACCTTCTCGTGCACACCTTTGGCCTGACATAGAAAGAAACTCTTTAGAAACATTTCAAAACATGCAAGCACTATATACGGCTATTAATATTATTAATTCCATTAAAACCATACATTTAATTATATTATTAATTCAAATTCTATACAAATATTTTTAAAATGTATATGAACAATACAATTCTAAAAACTAAATCAATCAAGTGATCACAAGATTACAATGTACTGCATGAAAACAGACCTTTTGAGATTTGCTAAATATTACTTTTAACAGCATTAATAAAAACAATAGTGACCACTGGTTGACAGAAAATGTAATTTACAATATTGGCCAATACAGATTTTATATCTAATTAATTAATTAAAGGGGTGGTTCATTGGCTTTTTTCCAGGCTTGACTGTTTATGGGGTGCAGTCTAACATGTGTTAATGCTTCCTTTTTTTTAAAAACGTATTATTTTTCACATAATTTACCTTTATTCCACACCACTCTGTCCCTTCTCTGAGAAACGGGCTGATCTTAAATAGTGACCACTGGTTGACAGAAAATGTAATTTACAATATTGGCCAATACAGATTTTATATCTAATTAATTAATTAATTAAAGGGGTGGTTCATTGGCTTTTTTCCAGGCTTGACTGTTTATGGGGTGCAGTCTAACATGTGTTAATGCTTCCTTTTTTTTAAAAACGTATTATTTTTCACATAATTTACCTTTATTCCACACCACTCTGTCCCTTCTCTGAGAAACGGGCTGATCTTTTCCTGTTTTTATGAAGCCCCGCCCTCAGAAATAGGCGATGGGCTCTGATTGGTTAGCTAGCCCAGTGTGTTGTGATTGGCTAAACCGCCTCTAGTGCGCATCTAAACGTCCTGCCCCTCACCTCAGCGGCATGTGCTCTGGTTGTATTGTAAACAACGGCGTCGTTAATATCGCTTATCAGTTTGAGCCCGATTGAGAATCAGAGGATATTATTGAAGAGGATCAGTGCAGAACCTGTGCAAGCACAGCTTTTAATGGTAGGCCTATGTTTTTTGTTATCTCATACTTTTAGATATGCTGTTATTTGTAAATTCTACTGCTTATGTTAGCTTTTAATATATGGTTTTGTCCTGATTAAAGCTTCAATACAATACGGCAACTGCACGCGCGTCCATGTATAACGCTTCTCATAGCTATGTGAAAATAAATGTATAAATGGAACAGAACTGATGATCTGAATGCGAGACAGAGAGGCCGAGCAGGCGACGCGAGGAACAGTATTAAGAACAGCTGCTTTAGAACATTGATTTTGAAACTTGTGAATCCATTAGAATCGTTAGAAGACAAAATCGCGATTCATATATTTTTACATGCACCTCTAGTTTTCTCTTCCTCTTCTCTAAAGCAGCGCAGCATGGCCTCGCCCCCTTTGCTGCCTTTTCCTGAGGGCGGGGTTTATCTGGGTTTGTGATATCACGAACCCGGGAAGTAACTCGTTGTAGTCCCTACCAGCCATTTTTGTAGGCATTAAACCGCTAGAATTTTAAAAGACGATATCTCCGTTTGCATTGAACTTTCAGCTTCGTAACTTTGCAGATATCGTTTATGCTCAAACAGCAACATTACACGCTAACGTTAAAAAAAGTGAAATCGCAATCAACCACCCCTTTAAGTAAATAAATAAATAAATACATATTGTATTTTTTTAAACAAGTGGCTTATAGTGGTTTCTATAAAACTATTAAATACTAGATTCTAAAAACAAATGTATTAATTTTATTTTTAAGCAACTTCATTAAGTCACATCCATCTGCTAGAACATTAGTTCTAGACATTAGATTCTATGCCTTCTAAGTGATAACAGGTATTTTGCATAATAGCCGTTACTATATTGTGTATTTCAGCAAAACTAGGACACTGCATTTACCAGAACATTTTAATTACAAACCTCATTGAAATCCAGAGATGAGTCATTGCACAAAGCACAGATGGTGGCCATTTCAACCAGAGCATCATACTGGGAGCATTGTACTGGTTTATCCTCATGAAACCTGTAGCGAGAAAATAATAAAAAAAAGAGGATCAACAGAGATGTCTCATGCATTGAGATATCAGTGTGCACGTGGGCCAGCAAACTCACACTTGTCCATCAGGGGCGTATGTGGAGCCAGTAATGGTGAACTCTTTGAGAGAGCAGCTGTTTCCATTTGCCTGATCAACAATGAACATCTGCAACATACATTTTTTTAAATCAAACAAAATGTTTAGCAGCAGGTGGCAGAACAATCCGCTACAGAACATGTCTGATGTTTGACAGCATCTCATGAAAACATCCCTACTCCACCTGACCTGGATATGCCAGGATGTAAAACACTTTATGACACTCACTTAACCTGACTTCAAAGGGGCTTTAAAACCCCTCCAAAATTCCTGAAACATAAGCAAATGAGCATTAAGGATATTTTGAGCACAGAAGACAACCAGATCCCCCGGATTTGTCAAGAAAGAGAAGCGAATAAAAGAGATGAGCGCGAGTGGGATGATAAAGTGGAACAGCGTTCCTGCTGTAGTGCTAAAACCCAGTGGACAAGAGTTGGAAAGATGGAGACAGACGCGTGAGTGGGGGAGAGAGAGCGAGACGCTGGGCACTGCGGAGAACAAGGCATGATTAGCAAATTAACTCTAACATGAAACATATCTGATATAAGCTATTGTGAGAAACGGGAAAAAACGTGATAGAAAAAAGAAACCAACTAGTTAACATTTTCTAAAGAAAAATCTAGAGGTGCTTGGGTGGCAAAACATGCTGCTATGATGCTTAAATGTTGTGAGGGATTACCATGGCTTTGCCATGTGGTTTTTAGCATGTTTCCATGCACTTTTCCGAGTCTCTTATGAATCATTCAAACCATTTTGAAACCAGAACAGGTTTTAACGATTCACTGAAAGGAACAGACTCAAAAGAACAGTCCACTAACAAATCAAACATTTCTGTGGCTTTCAACCACATTTTACATTCTACCAAGGCCGATATATCAGCCAATATTTTGCATTAATATTTATTTTTATTATTGGCATTGGCCAAAATCTTTCTGCTTGGCTGAACTAGAACTGTAATTTTGACAGCACTGGGACTTTTATTCATTTATCAATGCATTGTGCATGGTTGTTTACTGTGTTAATGTTTTTTTTAAACAGTTTATTTATTTGTAAAAATATGATTTCTATCTAAAGTAAAAATGTGTTTATTTTACATGGTTAATTTTTCAAATTAATTTTTTTATATCGACTCGTTTTCAATTCTTTTTTTAGTAAAATATGATACATAATAATAATAATAATAATTAAATATGAATTTCATTGCAGCATGTGTTATTAAAATTAAATGTATGATGTACATATCGGCCACCTTGCTCTCAGCATTAACATCAAAAATCCATATCGGTCGACCAGTACATATGATCTCTTAGAAAGGTAATGACACCTCAGTCAGATGCAAGAGTAGAAGTATCATGCGTGTCTGTAGCGGAAATGGTGCAAGACGACTTGCGTGTTTAATACAAGTACAAGTTTAATACTTAGGGTTAGGGTTAATACAATTACATTCCTTCTGTTGAAACGCTGCTAATTTTAGACACCCTTCCCATATAGGCAAACGGGACATTTAGGGGGAAAATTATCTTGGTTTAGCCACCTCCTGAGCATTCACAGAATAAATCAAGCATAATATTATTTGAACTCATCTCTATTAAGAATAAAAACAAGCCTAACATCAACCACTTTACAGGCAGAATACGGATTGAAATCAGCAGCCCCACACATTTGGCTTGCATGAGTGTACAGTACAGCCCACAGCGAAGGTGCTGCTGTGGATCACAGACAGATCTCACACACACACACACACACACACACAAGGTCAGTTATGCAACACTACTGCAAGTAACTGACTACCGCATACTAATCAGCTCTCACAGTAAAGGTGGAAAAGAAGAAAGAGAAGAACAGATGAGGGGGATGACAAAAGTTGAGAGGAGAAAGAGAGAAATAAACCATGTTGTCCTTTGAAATGAATCCTGTCAAACAGTAAACAACATGAAAGGAAATCCAGAGGCAACTTGGGGTGGTCCAACACAAGATCATGAGGAACGCAAAGATAAAACAAAATTAATCATGCCAATATCAAAGCTGCAGTTGAACAGTTTTCCCACGACTTTTGTTTGAAGCCAATGTAAGACATGTACTAGTGCTAAATCAATACCATCATGAATGTTCCTTTTTTTTTTTATTCATGAGTATTTTCAGCCAATTGTCTGCAGTAATATTGCTCTTGGTTCTTGGCTGAATCCCGACCTGCAAATTTCTAAACAATAACAGACTCACTGTTGCCAAGGGTTGAAATTATGGGCTAAACAGAATTTGTAATAGCCAGGGGTTGTAAGTTATTATTTTCTCTTTGATGAGCCCTGAAGCTGCTCATCAAAGTTCACTTCCATTGGCTACAATATTCCCAGCATTCTTACCCTGCAAACGGACATCTGGTTGGTGGTCAGGGTGCCGGTCTTGTCCGAGCAGATGACGGAGGTGCACCCGAGGGTCTCCACTGAGGGCAGAGAGCGTACGATGGCGTTCTTCTTAGCCATGCGACGGGTGCCCAGAGCCAGGCAGGTGGTGATGACGGCGGGCAGGCCTTCGGGGATGGCAGCCACAGCCAATGCGACCGCGATCTTGAAGTAGTACACAGCCCCACGGATCCACGAGCCACCGTGAACGGGATCGTTGAAGTGTCCGATGTTGATGAGCCACACAGCGATACAGATGAGCGAGATGACCTTAGACAGCTGCTGGCCAAACTCATCCAGTTTCTGCTGCAGCGGCGTGCGCTCCTGCTCTGTGGATGCCATCTCATCACGGATTTTGCCGATCTCTGTGTTCACGCCTGTGGCGACCACTACGCCCACTGCTTTGCCTGCTGCAATGTTGGTACCCTGTAAACATGAAGTAAAAGGTGAGTTTTAAGGCTATAAATTATGACCATATTCAATAAGCAATCTGATATCTAAAAGTTTTCTAGAAACAAAACTAGTCCTAAACCATGCAAATAAAGATGCATAATATATTAGTTTTTTAATTGGAAATTTCACAGCTTGTTTCCTTTATATTTACATTTAGATTACCCTTACCGTCATTTATAGTTCATCTTAAAAGCATTCATAATTTCATAACACTTTAAATGTATTTTTTAAATTAGTATTATAATGTTGTGATGCCTGTATCATTAGTTTTTTTATAATTTTTATTTTTATTTTAGACAACACGGTATACATTTTAATATCAGCCGTAACATGAAAATAATTATCGCTTTTCAAATAAATGCTGCTCTTCTGAACTTTCTATTCATCAAAGAATCCTGAAAAAATTTATAATTTTCCACAAAAAAATATTAAGCAGCACATCAGATTTCAACATTAATGACCGTAAGAAATGTTTCTTGAGCAGCAAATCAGAATGATTCATCAGAATCCTTACTATGATTTCTGAAGAATCATGTGACATTGAAGACTAGAGTAATTGCTGCTGAAAAATCAGGTTCTCTCAACAGGAATAAATTACTTTTTAAAATACATTCAAATACAAAACATTTATTTTCAACTGTAATAATATTTCACAATATAACTATTTATAATCAAATAAATACTGCCTTGGTGAGCATTAGAGATTCTTTGAAAAACATAAAAAAAAACAAAAAGGCCAAACTTTTGAACGGGACTGTACTTGAAGTTGAGAAAAAAAAAATCTAACTCTAAATATGAGCACAACTAATAAGGTCTGCATTATCAGGTATGACAAATAATAAACTGACAGCAGTCATCAGAGGTCTGACTTACAGAGAAGAGCATGTTCTTCTTGTCCTGGTTCACAGCTCGAGGGTCAGGGACAGGGTCTGTATGCTTGATTACTGACACAGATTCTCCTGTGATGATACAGATGACAAGTTGGTGAAATCAAAACTCTAGTACTACATGTCTGCCCTCTAAGCTTAGAGTAATACATAAGGATCAGGTTAGTAGTTCATCAGACAGGTGGCCAAATTTAAGTCCTTGATGGGCATTTGCGTAATTGCTTAAACGGTTCAGTACTGGTCAGGATGGCAAAGAATCCCAACAAAAAATAGACACGGATGGAGCAGCTAAAAGATGTGGAGAAGTTGAACAGACCCTTACCAATTAAGGCAGTGAAGCTAGACCTGCCTCCTACAAGAGCACTTCCTTTCGGTCTTTTCCCCTAACTGAATACTGCAGAGACTGAGCACAGCTGATCTCCCTTTAAAATAAGCACTGAATCTTCTCAGAAAAAACAAAAACAAATAGGCTATATTTTTCCACCTCATATCAACTACTGAACTGACTTTATAAGGTGGCGTACTGTGGCAATGTTTCCTGCACCGTTGTTCAACGCAATGCTGAATATTGCAATTTATCGCAATGACAATAGAAATTTGATTTAACCACAGTTTTGTGATTAGGGATATGCCGGTATCAAATTTTCATGTTGCGATTAATT